ACACACATGTACACACACACCCATGCACACTGAACCTTTAATTCATAGCACAGAAATTGAATTATAGCATTTAAGGAAACCGATAGCAAATAAAAGGCCGTTTTTATGTTCTCAGATGGGATTTAATTCCACCTCAATGACCCCACCTCCTACCTCATACTGTCCAGCCATCTGCTGACGGAAACCACAGAGCCAACAATCCTGCCTCCCCTCTCATGTCGACCAGCTCCTCTTCTTTACCCTCCTCATTCTAAAGTGTTGTTTATCTCGGGATGTAGTGGTTTTGACAGCAGTTTACAAAAGTGTTCTGCATTTGAGAGGATAGTAATCTTGACAGTTGATTTGTTCCCTAATGAGCAGCGTAGGTTTCCATAAATAGCTTTGGTCAAATGTTTTACTGCAGAGCTACAGTCTGAATGTGGAGTGTGGGTGTGTCTATGTGTGTATTGTGTAATTTGATCTGTGTGGGTGGATTTTTATTATATTCTTTGTATAATATAATGCTACAATCTGATCAGACAGGATTATTTTCTGAGATTTAGGCTTTCATAATTTATTATTCAATTTTGCTTGCATAGTATTTCCTATCACATTCATGTATAAAATTATTTATTCTGGTCATTTAATGTGTCCCATCTCTCCTTTCTCCCACCCACAGGTCTCTAAAGTGAACGGGCTGACGCGGACGGGCTCCGCACAAGGTGTCGGTGGTGCCAGAAAGAGCCGCGACTTCCGGCTGCCGTCCAAAACTGTGAAGAAGTACACAGCCACCGTGTCCAAGGGCCACGTCACTTACACCAAAGCCAAACAGAAAGAACTGGGCAAGAAAACCAAACTCAGCAGCAGCAACAAACACAACAGCGCCGCCTCGGCACCGTCGTCAGCGAACAATCACAATCAGCACAGCCAGTCAGCAGCCAGCAACGGGCTGGCCAACTCAGGAAAAGCAGCGGCACCAGCCCACCACAGCAATGCAAAAACCCGCAAACAGGTGCTACTATCCAATGGGCTGCACAGCGTTGCCACCGGCGTCCGCCTCAACGGGAGGCTTAACGGGCTGCGGCACAACACCCCGGCCAAGGAGGACGGGCAGAGACAGTGCCAGCAGAGCCACGGGGAGTACACAGGTCGAGAGGGACTGCGTAACTCCAAGCGGCGTCTTGAGGTTGTGCTCAGCTCAGCGGGGACAGGTGTTGTAGAGCAGAAAGCCAAAACCACTGGCACTGAGGCCAAGAAGGCCAAACTTCAGTCGGCTCCTCTGGAGACGCGCAGCAGCAGCAAGAAGGTGGCCAATCATGAGAAATTCGCCACACATGCTACCACCCCTACCACTCCAGTTTCTAATGGACATGAATCAGAAATGCCCCCTTCTCCCAAACAAGCTCCACCTGTTACCCCTCCTCCGACTCCCCCTCCTTCATCTACACCAGCAGCCAATACGGAGCCGGTGAACCAGCGACCCAAGCGGGCATCGGCTGGCAAGCTGATGTTGATACGACAAGCACAGCAGCAGCAGAGCAGGTTTTACAGTCGCAACTCCTCCTCCTCGTCCCCCTCAGCCGGCCAGAATCAACCACAGAACCCCAGTCGTTCCAGCACTACCTCAGACCCCCAGCAAACCTCTGTGTCCGCCTCCTCCACCACCACTTCTCTGCTTGCAACCACCAACAGCCCCGGACAGCTCAAACCAGCAGCGATGCGGCCCGCTGAGCGCGACAAAGAGTGGGAATGCGAGAAAGAGATGGCGCGCCAGAAAGAACACGAGCAGGAGAAAGAATGGGAGCGCCAGAGGAGCAGGCCAGAGGGCTGGGCGGCGCTCGGCGAAGTTCCCGTCTTCCGGCCAGCCCCGAGGGAGTTCCAGGACCCCTTGGTGTACTTGGACGCGGTGAGGGAACAGGCCGAGGCATCTGGCATGTGCCGCGTGGTGCCGCCCACAGACTGGCGGCCCGAGTGCAAGCTCAGCGAGGAGATGCGTTTTGTTACACAGGTGCAGAGGGTCCACATGCTGGGCCGGCGCTGGGGCCCCAACGTGCAGCGTCTGGCCTGCATCCGCAAGCACCTCAAATCTCAGGGCATTACCATGGACGAGCCACCGGTCATTGGTGAGTGAGACACTGAGACACGTATATGCATGTGTACAACACATTTGAGACAACAAAACTGAAAAACTGGACTGAATTGACTTGAGAATAAACCAAAGAGCAGTAAATCAAACACCTCATTCAAACTGAGTCGTCATCTCACGCCTGTTTACAGTGTTAAAACTTTAGTCAAATGTAAATAACAGTGATATTGCACATCAGAAGAAGGTAAATCACATAAGCTCCTCAATATCCAGCAGTTTTAAATGTTTTATAAATCTTTCCAGGTTTTATAGATTCACGGAAGAAAGCAACCAGCCAACAAATATATCATGTCCATTTGTATCAGGGGCGTTTTCCTGATTTTATCTTCCACTTTATAGACGACAATAACAGTGTGGAACAACTTGGCTGCTAAAAGCAATATTTCCCCCAGTTTACCTCTTCACCTTCCATTAGTCATAGAGACTTCCACATTTTATGATCATTTTCTAAAAGTTGAATAGATACTTTGTTGTTGAATTTTAGAGTTTTACACTGCCTGGTGTTGTGTGTGTGTGTGTGTGTGTTGGGAGCTCTGTATACAGCGGTGTGCAGATTAGCTCAGTGTGAGAACAGCTATGTGGCTGTCGGCCAGACAGACCTGGCAGCCAGTGACCCACAGCGGAGTGGCTTCAGCCAACCAGGAGGCCCGGTTCCAAATGACTTCCTTTACTGTGCCCAGCAGATCAGATCTGCATTAACAGTAATTTGTGTCTCTGTGTGGCGCAGTGATGGTCCAGATCATTTTGAAAGCTGATAACTCAACTGGCCGTTTCAGATGAAATGAAGTGGGCTGGAGGAAATGGCATATTTAGCCACAGGAGCAGATGCTCCAAGATGGCAGGCCTCTTCATTTGATTTGATTTGAAAATTGAAAACTTCCTGTGCACATTTTTCTCTGAAGTAACCTCGTCTTTGTGTTTCTGTTTCACACAGGTGGCTGTGAAGTGGACCTGTCACGTTTTTTCCAGCTCATCAACGACATGGGCGGCATGCAGCAGGTGATGGACCTGAAGAAGTGGACCAAGCTGGCCGACCTCCTGCGCATCCCTAAGTCAGCGCAGGACCGGCTCGCCAAGCTGCAGGAGGCGTACCTCCAGTACATCCTCTCCTATGACTCGCTCAGCGCTGACGAGCGCCTCGGACTGCAGGCCGAGGTGCTGCAGGAGAAAAAGAAGCTGGAGGGACGCCGGGGGCCTCTAGAGGGTCTTTTGGACTCCTCGGCACCTAGTGCCCTGGTCTTGCCACGCTACGAGCCCAAGAACGGGCTAGCAGGTGGGATAGTGGGAGGGCCCACGGGGAACCAGCGCACCAATGGAGTGTATCACCATCTGAAGGAGCTGGAGGCTCAGGTCAAAGCGGGCCGGCGCCGGCTCTTCGCTCAGGAAAAACAAGGCAAAGAGGACAAGCAGCATGGAGAGGAGCAGGAGGAGGAGGACAGGGGCGTTCTCAATGACCAGCACAAATGTATTTACAAGGTGAGGATGGAGAAGACTTTTGCTGTTACACATCAGAAACATACACACGAGACACATGTAAGTGGATCCTTGTTATGTTTCTGTTCTTTTCCTGCTATAAAAAGCTTCTTGACATGAACCCTGAGACACTCTCTAGAGTTTACCTTTTACAGCAGGAGATCATCTGCTGAGATAAATTCACAAAAACACTGAATGTTAAACCCTGAAGTCCGGAGCTTCTCACTCCAAAAACTCCATTCTCACACACAGCCTCTGCAGAGAATGTCAGACAGGACTGCAGAGTTAAGTGCACGTCTGAGTGCAGCTTTACTTGCTGTAGCTTTTGCTGTGAAGTTTACAGTTAGTCATTGTTACATCAGCAGCGGCACTGAGTTATAATGCCCACATACTGATGTGTCTGCCTTCTCGTCATGGTTGCCCTTCTTCTCATTACAGCGAATAGATGAGTCATCAGAAAAACACCTACATGCTTGTTTGACTTTGTTTGTGTCAGGTTTTGTTTTTGTCAGGTTTGTCATTAACAGCTTTAGCTGTCACTTCATTAGTGACTACGTCTGCATCCTGTCTTTAAAAGGAGCTGAGCTGTTCTAGCTATAATGGGCCTTCTCTTGGGGACAATGTTACTCTGCTGCAAGATGTTGATGCCCAATTGAAATTCTTCTGCAGTTTTCTTAGTAACATTATCGTGGTTTTTAATCGTAGTCGTTTTATGGCCTATTGAAGCAAACCTAAAAGATTTGCACACCTGTTTAATGCAGCAGCACTTGTAAATGTGTCATTCAGCTGTTAAGACCTAGTTTGTGGTGATTAGTCTGAGGGACAGCAGTTTCTGTACCTTGCACATATTGTGGTTTTGTTGGATTGTGTGTGTGTGTGTGTGTGTGTGTGTGTGTGTGTGTGTGTGTGTGTGTGTTGTAAGGTGGTCACTAGTCTCGCCTACGTGTGTGTGTGTGTGCGCAATCAAGCACATTCGATGTGCTCCCGCCCATCCAGCCTGCGAGCAGCTGTGTTGATTCTGGCTGGCTGAAATGTAGGTCAAAGAAAAGGCAGCCCTGCTCCGCCACGCCTCCCCCCGGCTTCAAACCCCACCTTTCTCCAGCTCTCTCCACCCCCTAATCCAGCTCTCTCCCCACGGCTCCTCTGCCGTCGCTCGTAGCCATTTCCTCAAATCTCCGGTCCTCTCGCCACAAACCCTCTCTCCCCCCCTCCCCTCGAGCTCTGTCCACGTGCCAAACCCTCGATGGAGCCCCTCTCTCTCTGGACATAGACGCACATGTATGCATGTAAGGCCAGCAGTTCTTAGTCTACACGTACATCCCAACATGATCATTTTTTGTGTGCATGTTTGCCACAAAAACTTGACAAGTAATGATTTCCGTCAAAACTTTTTCTCTGTCTCTTACACATATTTCATAACTCTGCTCCCATTTTCAATTTGGATCCAATTATATTTTCCCCCTCCTGTTCCTTTGGAGTCTAAATCCGTCTGAAAAGCTTAGATTATTCTGAACAGACTCGTCCCCCGTACAGTCCATAGACGTCTGATTTATAGAAGCACCATTCAGCGTGGTGACAGGTGAATGGCTGTCACTGTGCCGACAGGACAAGCCTGTCTAAATACGACCCATCACTCCTCTGCTGAACTCAGATTTGTATGCATTTTTCATCAGCAGTGCTCCCCGAGAGGAGCTTATATTTCATTTTCTTGTATCCAGAGAACAAAGTGCACGTCAGGGGTGTAATTATCTCTAATTACAGCAGGAAAGGCTCAGATAAGTGAACCTCTCACTGGCCCAAATAACAGCTTGTCCGAGCTCACCAGGTCACTGCCACACTGTTTTATTTAACTGCTGTATTTTACACCCCTGTGGTTTATTAAATATCAAAAAATATATCAGTTATTTTAAAAAATCTCTTCTCTGCCTCTGCTCATATGAGAAGAAAAAAAAAAGAAAGACAAAGAGTCGCTGTGAGGATGAAATGACAAGGTCATCATTCAGCAGGGTCCATTCATCCCCAGAGCCGGAGCAGGCAGATTTATGGTCACCTTCGGAGACTACACCTCCTCTGTAGCATTGGGAATATATGTGGGACCTATAGAGGAGGCACAGAGGTGGAAACATATTGAGAGACGTGTAGAGATGATACATTTCTGTGCAGGGACATGCATTCTTTTGACCTTAATGCTTTCCTGACTTTTGTAAACTTCATGTCCTGCACTATTTTCTTTGTGTATTTTTATTCACTCTCTCGATTCATATCCCCTACAGTTGTTTTTCCGTGAGGGAAGCCCATAAATCATAAATCATAAAAAAGTCCAGACTCCAGTTTTATCTTTTTTCCTTCATGATGTTTAATGTCTTTCTGTTTCAGGGGAAATCTGTGTCTTTGACGAACTTCTTCAGGATAGCCCGGAACACCATGACCATGTGCTTTAACAAGGAACCGGGCGCTGCTGAGGTTGAGGTTAGCACGCATTTTTTTTTATCCAATCGCAGTTATGAAGATGGCCTGTAGGGGCTTGGCTTGAAATGTATGACGTCGCTTCTCCAATGAATTATCACCTGAAACCTGTAACGTGTTTCATGCATTCTTCAGCTAATCACCTTTCCTTTTTTTTTTTTCCTTGCAGCAAGAGTACTGGAGTATTGTGGAGCATAGAGACAGCCACGTGGCAGTGCATTGTGGGAAGGTGGACACCAGTACACACGGAAGTGGTTTCCCCACAGGAAAGTCAGAGCCATTTTCAAAGTAAGTCGCCCATTGACCTTCCACTTCTGTCACTGTTGACTCATCTATCTTGTCACGGTACTGTTTTGAATCATAGAAATAATTGTTTGTCTTCTCTCTACCTCAGACATGGATGGAACCTCACTGTCCTCCCCAATAACTCTGGATCCATTCTGAGGCATCTGGGAGCTGTGCCTGGTAAGGACACATGGAAATAAACACGCAATACTAAAAACCAAAGTTACTATTAGCTGCATCTCCTCAGTCTGTGTCATCTACAGTGAGTAATAACCAATGCTCTGTCTCCGCAGGGGTGACTATTCCCTGGCTAAACATTGGCATGGTATTTTCTACCTCATGCTGGTCTCGAGACCAAAATCGCCTTCCATATATCGATTATTTACACACTGGTGCTGATTGCATTTGGTGAGTATCCTCTCTTCTCTGCTTCACTGGGTTTTTTTGTGTAAGATCACAATGAAAAATCTGCCTCAAACTCTCATGTATTGTTTTTAATGCATCAAGAGCTAGTTTCTGACTTTGTTTTCTTTATGCATCTTCCTCCCACAGGTATTCTGTCCCTGCTGAGGAGAAGGCTAAGCTGGACAAGGTGGTCCATACACTGCTTCAGGCCAATGGTACCCCAGGACTAGAGATGTTGGAAAAGAACATCATGGTCAGTGTTTTCTCTGTTTATGCCTATTTTAGTATTTTGTCATCTACAATCCATCTCTATTTGTCATGCATTGACCACGAGTTTGGACCGCTGTGCTAAAAAATGAGCAACCCAACCTGGCCTCTTGCTGTATGTCAGTCCCCATTTCACTCTTGCACTGTCCTTTCAGTGAAAATACCTAAAAATATAAAACTAATTTCCAGAAATGTACAGTCGCAGAGAAGTAAAACCTTTCTCTTCCTCCTCCAGATCTCTCCAGAGGTGCTGTGCCGTGAAGGTATCAAGGTTCACCGTACGGTCCAGCGGAGCGGCCAGTTTGTGGTCTGCTTCCCCGGTGCCTTCGTCTCTAAGGTGTGCTGTGGCTACAGCGTGTCGGAGACCGTACACTTTGCCACGCCGCACTGGATGAACCTGGGTTACCAGGCTTCAAAGGTCAGCATGTGAATAAAGGAACATGTGCACAAAACAAAATGTGTATTTATAAATGTAATATCTAAAATCAAATGTGTTCATACAGTATTGTTCCAAATAATGAGCATTTTCATGCCTGGTGACAGCTGTGGGTGATGCCTCCATCATTTTAATTTACACACTACTACAAGAAACAAAGCTGAAGAAAGTCAAGTCCAATCCGTTTTATTTATATGTCCCTATATCGCAAATTAAGAAATACACTTTAATTCCTTCAATACATATGATTCTCGACAGACGTGGATGTAAACTGCAACTTCACTGGTTTGAGGAAGTGCACGATCATGAGGCAGTAAAACTAGTGAACAGGAGAGGTCAGGAAATATTGATCGGAGCGATGAGAGTCCACAGTTACACTGCAAACACACTTGAAGATATTATCAGCACAGTTGGAGCATATCTGGCTTTAAACCAGTGAAACATTGAGACCAATTTGTTTTCATCACACGACTTATGCTGGGGGAGAAAAAAGCTGTTTCTGTAATAAAAAAGAAAAGAGCACAATGTAAATACACCAGGAAATCGTCTGTTGGTCAGAATCAGAATTTGTGATCTGTTCTGATTTTTTTTTTTTTGCAGGACCTGAAATGTCGTCGCATAGCCAAACCCTTCTCCATGGAGAAGCTACTGTACCAGATCGCCACGGCCGAGTCGAAGAGGGACAACGGCCTTCTCCTCACCACCATCTCCTCCCTACTCAAAGATCTCAGGTAGGATCCAGGAGTGCTCATCTACCCACTATTGAAAAATATATATAAAATCCTATTACTGTTCAAAAGACTATAATTTAAAAACTTGTCATTTCCACATCCTCCACAGAAGAAATCAAAAGTTGTAGCCGCCCTGTATATTCATGTTTTCTCTTCCTCTTTGTTTTGTATTATCGACACATCCTGTCTGACACAACAACAGCAAAGGTTTTATTTTGGATGCTCTAACCTGGCGTGCACGTTTTTGTCCAACAGGAACATAGAGATGCATCAACGGCAGGAACTTTACAAGGCAGGTTTGCTCTCCTCCGCTCGCTACGGCACGCACGACGGCAGCCTCGGGCCTGGCGAGGGACGCAAGAAGCCCCGCGGGAAGTGGCTGGCACTGGAATCTTCAGAGAGACGCTGCCAGATCTGTCAGCATCTCTGCTACTTGTCCATGGTGAGAGCAGAGAGTGGAGGAGTTTAACACACCACGGTTATAAGATGTGACGACTTGTATTCTTAATTGCTGTAATGTCAGTTTGGATACATGTTGGTGTTTTACTTCAGTCTCACCAGTAACCAACAGTCTGATTTTATCTTCAAGGAAAGTTTGTGACTTATATTACTTACTAGGTTTTACCTTAGGATGAACTTTGTTCCGTCACACTTTCTTTTTAAGAAAAAAGTTTTGATGGCATGCAGCTTTTACTGTTTCTGGGAATTTTAGTTTCTTCCCTAAGATGCAGACATTAACACATTGTAATAAATCTAATAACAAGACCAATTTGAAACTGTTACATGAAACTGACAAGTTATATATTTAACTTGTTCAAACCCTGAAACATTATTGATAAAATCATTCATATCATTTTTTTTTATGTTTGCAATATGCCCTTTAATAACACGTAACGAACGCAAAAACATACATCTTATTTATTGCACATTACTATATTGCCAAGTTTTTCTTCTGCACTTTCTTTTAGTTTTTGTGGCTAAGTATTTGAAAACTAAATGATAGAATTAGAAACACCATAACATTGTATTATATGGAAACTTACACACTAACTTGCTGTTGGTATAATACAGTAGGAGTATAGAACATAGATAAATAATTGATCAGGTTCCCCCCACAGAATCTCAGTAGTAGGAGTGTCTGGTTTCTATAATAAATGTCTGTGTCTCGCTTTGTGTCTCCAGGTGGTTCAGGAGACGGAGAACGTGGTGTTCTGTCTGGAGTGTGCGCTGCGCTATGTGGAGAAGCACAAGTCCTGCAGAGGCCTTAAGATGATGTACCGATACGATGAGGTGAGCTGCTGCCGTTTGGGTTCTGCTGTGGTGCAGTTCTGTCTGCGTCCAGCTGGGGGAGACGTCAGACAGGTTTACACTGCTCCAGGAAGTAATTTATTCACCATGACAGAGTTCATGTACTCTCATGTAACGAAGCTGAACCAGGCAAAACCATTGCAAATGTGTGTTTATAAAATAAACTGCACATTATTAATTTTTTAACCGGTGTCTTTCCCTTCCAGGAGCAAATCAACAGTTTGGTGAACCAGGTGTGCGGCCGGGCCCTGTTAAAAAACAGCAGAGGCGTCGGTGGGGGGGTCGTGGTCAGCGGAGTAGGAGGGGACCCCTGTCTCGGCTTGAGCCCCGCCAAAGCATCGCCGGCCAAGCGTGGCCCCAGGAAGCGCGCCACTGTGGAGGTCTCCCTGTCTCGTCTGTCCTCCAGCCACATACCCAAGGCTGCAGCCGTGTCCTGAGGCGGGCGCCTACGACATGGCCGCCCCGTGCGCTGTGTCCACGCCCTGCCCCTTTACACCCTTTTTTTTAAAACCTAAAGCAGGATCACTATCAATCCCTCCTCCACCGCTCCGATATTTAAATCGATTGTTTTTGAGCTTTGGAAATCCCCTCATCCCAAAAAAAAATTCACCTCCCCCCTTAGTACGACAGGCTTGTTTATATAAAAGAAAAGAGAGAAAAGAAAAAAAAGAATAACAAGTTGTCTTTTTTGCACTAGTGTGAAAGAAGAATTTGTTTTTATTCTGGATGATTTTATCCCCCCTCCCCCGCCCCGCCTGAACTCGTCCTCAGCTGCATCACGAGCATTAAGTTCACAAGAAGACTCGATGCGTCCCCTCACCCTCCCTTCACCTTTTTCCTGCATCCCCTCTTTTCCTCCGGAGACGGAACCCTCCGGAGGCCCCATCCCTTCTCATCGCGCATCACTCGACTGTGAACGTGGGACGAATGATAAGGTGGCCTTTTTTTTTTTCCCTCCCTGGTTTTTTCTGATATGAAAATGATATCAAGTAGTTGCCCAAAGTTTCTCTCTGTCCTCGCTCTGAGGAAGAAGAGTCCTTTCTTCATTGATTTTAGTCGTGATGCAGCTCCTGCATTGTGTGTTTTTGTTTTTAAAGGGGTGTTGGTGACGCGAGGTCAAAACTTGAAAGACGATGATGTTGGTTTATTGTTGGTCGGCTTTTGTTTTTTCCAGTTCTATTTTGAATTTTAGCTTTGTTTTCTCTAGTTTTTTTTGCGAGAAGTCTTCTGTGTTTTGTTTTTTTTTTTGTCGTCATTGTGGATGTTTCTCTTCGTTGGTGGACGTTAGAGAGGGGGGGGGCAGAGCTACAGCTGCTTTGACCTGTGAAGGGTCACCACTCACCTCACTTCCTGGTCGCATGGAGGGATCCCTCCTTCGCTAGCGAGTGAAAACCGTGCCTGATACTTAGCGAGGAGATCCATTTTTATTGGTGCTGTTGGTTATCATTACTGTATAACAACACAAAAATTTAAAATCTGGGGGTCGGCGACGCCTGCTGTCGGCAAACGGCTCGCTCACGCACCCCCGCCCCACAGGGCAGGAAAGCTTTTCAGGCTTTTCTGGTTCTAGATGTGCAATCGTGTTAACATTCCATTCTTCCAGTCCTCTTGTTTCATCTGTACCAGTAAACATTAATTATTATATTATATTATTATTATTATTGTGTTCTTTTTTTTCTACTTTTGTTGAATCTGATGTGTTATCTCAAGTAGAGCCACTAGTCAACGAGTGTTAAATGTGAAATATCGAATCCAAGTTTTTTTTTTTTCTTTAATTGTCTTTTTTGGGGTTTTTTTGGCTTTTGAATTTGTTCCCTTTTCCAGATATATTCTGAGTGATTTTTTCTTTTTTTAGAGAGATAAGAGAAAGTCCAACACAAACAAAACATCAACTTTTTTTGTACATAATCCTGTAAATTTCTTTAAATACTTGAGCCTTTTTCTGGGGTTAAGGAAGAAAGAAAAGAAGGAAGGAAGGAATAAAAGAGGAGACAAAGTTCCAGAGGAGTGCGCTCGATGAAGAAAAAGCCTTACATTTTCCCTTTCTTCATCCGTGTGAGTTTGATGCTTACAGGGTTGCTCTGGTAAACGTGTATAAAATTTTTAAGTGCTGCTTATATCACTAAGAAAGAAGATATTGAGTAGCCGACGACTGCCCCCCCAACCTAGTTTTGTTTGTTTAGCTTTACTTTTTTAAAGAAAAGGGAAAAAAAGATATGTTCACTAAAAAAAAAATGGGTTTTTACATTTTCATTACTGAAAATTCAACAAAAATGTAGTAGCTACTCATGTTGCACTGAGCTTGCCAGTGGTGACTGTCAAGGAAAAATCCTATAATCCAGTTTGTTGGTTGTCGTTCCCTCGCAGAAGACTGAACTGTTTTAGGACTATTTAATGAAATACCAAGTCGGGTGTTTTCAACATAAAAAAGTGGTTGTCAAGTTTTTATGGCCTTACAATATATTTTATTCTGGGATTTTCTTTTTTTTTGTTTGTTTCTCAGTTTTTATTGATTTTTTTGGTTTCTTCCATTTTCTACAGTATAAAATACTTGCTCACAGTGGGGTCTCTGGTGACTTAATTTATTAGTGCCGCATCTCGGCCTTTCCCTCCACTCGGAAAGAGAGTCTCATGTTGGTTATATTGACAGTTTTTTACTTTTGCAGTTTGTACTTAAGGTTTAATAAAAACTTACAGACAATTCACTGTCATTTCTTTCCAACCTGTTGTGTTTCTTTGTGCGGACGATGAGATCGTTAGATTTCACCATCTCACATGGGGAAGGGGAATTAAAGGATCAGTTCAGCTTAATAGAAAAATCTCTTGTGATCAAAATCCAGCAGTTTTTTCTGAATTTACAAGATTAAATGTTTTCATGAGAGAAAATCTGTTTTATTTTTATGAATTAACGAAAATAAAATTCTATTGAGAAAATAATACATCCATTAGCTCTAAACAAAAAAAAAAGTGCATCGCTGTTGGATTAGATCTTTTTCATGCTGTGATTGTTTTGGGATCTGCGTGTGTCAAACAGATCCATGGAGGCAAGTGAGAAAACGTGTTGTTGTAATTTGGTTGAATTAGCCCTCTTACAACAAGACAAATGTCAGGACCCTGCAAAGCGACTGAACCGTGACATTATCATGTTCCACAGGAAGCAGCAGGAGGTGCAGGATACTGGAGGTGCTCCTCTCACACACTAACATAGAAACTATTACTATCAGAGGGTCCTGCAGTTCTTCATCAGCTTAATTAAAGTGCATTTACTCTTAACAATGAACCAACACACTCAGCCTTTAAAATCCATTTACTCTCATTGTGACACTAGTATTGCTTTTCCTTATTTTTCAGTTTTAAAAAAAAGCATTTAACTGTAATGATGAATATATATACAGTGAAATATTCTCCCCACAGAGAAAACTGTTGTATTTCAAACCCCCTCTCCACTCCGACTGAAAACTCCATCCATCTATCCGCTCCCTCGCTCGCTGTGTGTGTGTGTGTGTGTGTGTGTGTGTGTGTCAGCTGAAAGAGCTCGAGCAGGATGATAAATCAAGAGTGAGCGCACAGGGACTGTTAACGTGCTCAAACCCTAAATCCTGCTCCACATTTCATTCTTTAACTTGTTTTTGAAACGCTCAGATGAAAATTAAACAATGCCGGGGGAGAAACATTTATTACCAACTAGTCAGAAGTTGTAGAGGAAAAAAGGAAAGGAAAGAGAAACGCTGTCACATTGTACAAATGTCAACATTTCTGTACAAAAACAAAGATCTGGATACAGTTAAACCTTCTGTGTTTTCCAGTGCATAGAGCACAGTCCGTGCATTGATTTGGTCCCTCTTCAAAAAGAAATATTTCGGTTTCAAGGAATGGCAAAGGGGAACTCTCCTGCATATGTGTGTGTGTGTGTGTGTGTGGTAAAATGTGGTAAATCATCACTATCCTGGCACCTGACGACCCGTCACCTTTAAAATACTGTAGGTGACTGCCTGCCGTGTTTATCAATTCCATTGGCACAGAAGTTTCATCTAATTTGTGGTGCACATTTCAAATATTGCAGAATGTTGCACATGAACCACTCAGAGGAAATACAAGAAACTTTGGGGATTCAGCTTATCCATAAAGTCAGGGAAAGAAAAATCATCCATGTGGCCCCTGCAGATAATGTCCTGTGCTAACTGTTCAGCCATTGACCCAAACGATGATCATATAGCCCAGGGTTTGAAATATCTAAAAGAAAAATAGATCTGTACATTATTTGGCGTAAACAGGAAACTGTATCTAGAAAGAAAGACGACAGAAATCGCACAGGGATACGTCAAAACCTGGGCCGCTATGTGCAGTGGCTAGATGTTTTTTTAATTTGGGTGAATGGATCCTTTAAGTGATCACAGGCATATAACTTACTACAAGTCCAGAATAAAATAATTTGTTAGCGATTTGATAACTTTTACAATGTGTGGTAATTAAAAGAATAAAATGTCTTAGAGCTGGCAGGGTTGTTTTCATTGGCGTTTTTTTATCCGTCTGTTATTTGGCAGCATTTCACAAAAACTGCAGGATAAATTAATTTTACATTTCCACAGATTTCCCAGGAAATGATTCCTGGAACATACACTAAAGGAACTGAGCAGCTGGAGTGAGTTTAAGGGGACGGTCCATTCTTATATTAAATACTATATAATAATAAAGAGCACATGTATACTGGAGTATTCACAGAGCGCGACAGGGCACTACCTGATAATGGAGGATTCTTATTTTTCCCTGTACTCATAAGTCAGAGGCGTCTCCTGCTCTCAACTTGCACAAACACAGAAACAGAATATTAGAGCATTCTCTGAATAATGCCAAACTATTCATGTGCTTGTTAAATCCTATTATTCTTAAGGAAACTCAAACCATTTTTACAATATTCAATTCAAATTGAAACCCCAGTGGTCTTTTAAGGCAGTTCAGTTTGTGGCAGTTGGTGCAACCTCAACGTATTTTCCTTTGTAAGGTTTTTCCTCTAATGTGAAAGGGATTTGAGAAGGAAGCCAATGTTGTGCAGTATGTGATTTGGCAGCTCTGCATGTTTGTGTGTTTGGGTTTGAATCCAGTCCAGCGCTCCTCAAACCTTCAGCCTGCTCTCCTCACAGTCTTTGCTGGTCTGCTCCTCTTGGTCGGCCCTGTCCACCAGCGTTATGTCAGGGTGCACCTCCTCTTCATCCCGGGTCACCATCACCGGCAGCCTTCTTCTCCTTCCTCCCCCACCTCCTCCTCCTCCTCCACCGCCTCCTCCTTGCTCGGCCTCCTCCTCATCGTCGTCCTCGTCCTCCTCCCCGGCCTCCGTGTCCTGGCTGGCTGAGTCGGTGCAGGTAGACGACAGGGAGGAAAGCTTGTGGCGGAGCTCAGCCTGGGTGGGAACCTGAAGACTGATCTCTGTGGTGAAGGACTCCACATCTGGACCTGAGAGAAACAGGAGTCGCTCAGATAAAATCTATTGTTATTCATTTGCTATCTCAGGCCAACTGTGAAGAAGGGCAGAGAGCTCTGGATTTAAATGTTCTCCCTGTGTGTCTGTGTTTCTCCATCTTCCTCCCACAGTGCAGAGACGTGCAGATTAATGTTAACTGGAGACTCTAAATTGACCATATGTGAATGGTTGTTTGTTTCTGTATGTTGGCCGTGTAGTGAGTCTGTGACCTGTCTGACGTGAACCCTGCCTCTCAGCTAATGTCAGCTGGGATCGGCTCCATTCTTCCCAACATCCCTTTGAAGATAAGTGTTATAGATAATGACTGGAGGGTGTCTTCTCCTGTGTGCGTCCACCTACCTGTGACAGGCGAAGCAGCGCTGTTATCCTCCCCGCCCGAGTGCAGAAACACATCCAGGGCCTCGTGGTCAGACATGTCCATCAAATCCATCTGCTCCAGCATGTCCACGTTCACCTCCATGGAGGACATGCTTCCTATTGGCTCTGGATACAACACGGGACAACAGGTTAGGAGCCTCACGCACGGCTGGAGCGTTCACTGTTCAGCAGCAAGGAGCTGAGTCCAGGAGGGGAGGTGCTTTGGGAGCTTTTCTTTTTTTAATTCCAGAAATTAACCAAGCAGAAGCAAATGAGCACATTCAAGCTGGATGGCATTTGACATGGATACACTTGTGCACATATAACATTTTGTTCACCAAAGCATTGACACAGGAAATGGATTGGCAGGTGTCGTGTGTAGGAATAAACTTCAAAATGTTTTTCTTTTTCAAACATGTTCACAGAAAGAGTAACAAGTCACCATGTGTCCTCAGCTCGACTAACTTCTACTGGAGATTCATGTTAGACCTCCATGTGTACATCAACAGAAGACAGACATGGAAAGTTGGACAGATTTCAGTGAATTAAAATGTGCATATCTGCTCTTTGCAGGTTAAAAATCATAGGACGAGCCTTAAGAAGTGTTTTAAGAGTCTGGACCCACCATAGACAGGCCACCAATAGTGGAGGTGAACAGATCAAACATATGAATCTTTCTGTCTGTTAGTCAGATTAATCACAAACTACTGGACGGACCACCATAAAACTTGGTGGAAGGATGGAATATAGGTCAGGAAAGGACACATTCAATTAAGGCTTGGATCTGGATCAGGGGGTGGATCCAGGATTTTATTTTATTTTTTACATTATATAGGGCATTTCTCAACATGTTCATGGATCTTGATGTAAAAAAAAATCTCTCTATAAGGGGGTCTAATATATGTATGTACCATGTATATGTATATGTATATGAATATAAGCAGCATATTCGACAAAATCATTAGAAACTCCCCTTATACACAGTCACCACATGAACTACTACAGTCCTGGATTCACCACCTTGCACAGGCAGCAGAGACCCCCCCCCATGTTCACCATCATGATGAGCTGCATGCGTCACAAACAGCCAGTCAGTGTGACAGTGGGGATGGAAGCAGAGGGGGATGGTGGATGGAGTGGGGGGGTCGGGGTGGGTGGCAGATTTGGAAGCACAAGAGGAAGGAGGGAGATGATTGGCCGGCGCATCGCAGGGAGAATAGATGCTATTGGCTACCGTACCTCAAGGAAATGAGGAGAGCAGAGGAGGGCAGCACGAGGAGGGAGAGCAGAGTTAAGAGAGCGAGAGAAAAGAAGGGGAAGATTATTTCAAATGGACACTGCCCCCGCCCTTTACATAGCAACACACTCAAACAAAGTGGAGATACACACACACACACACACACACACACACACACACACACACACACTCACACACACAAACACACACACACAAGTTTCAGATGCAACAACCTTGAGAATTCATCTGAATGTGCAGATGAGTATTTTATACATATTTAAAAAAAACACAAATAAATAAACACAAAACCCTGAACAAAAACGAAATGTACGTCAATTAAGAAATGGAGATGATGATGTGCATTTAACAAACAGACACATACACATACACACACACACACACACACACTCTCTTCTCCTCCCTTCTCTTTCTCTGCAGAGTCAGCTGTGGTGTTTTCTGCGACACATCTTACAGGAACTTGGGTCTAATGCTCGTTAATGACTTCCCAGTGTGCAGCATCCTCGTCTTGTGTGCGTTTCCACATCTCTCCTGTCAGCTTCGCAATTACCACCGCACAGCAGCAGCTACTCACACTCATGAAACATTGTGTGGAGGGATGTTGATTTTTCAGTTTTCAGCTGCAGATGAAGCTGCGTTCCCAGCATGTGAACAAAAATAAAGACACACACAGACGCACAGGCACGCACACACACACACACACACACACACACACACACACTCACACACTATGGTTGTGTTGTGAGAGCCTGGCTTCAGAAAGCACTGCATTGAGAGCATCTTTTCCATGTGACTGCCTCCAACATGTTCTTCTTTTAGCCCAACTGTGACCTTGTCTAAAAGGTTCCCCTGCTGGGAAGGACTGTTTTTGCCCACAGTGATATTGCAAAGAGTATACATATGTGTGTGTGTGTGTGTGTGTGTGTGTGTGTGTGTGTGTGTGTGTGTGTGTATAAGACCCTTGGGACTGGCTTCAGATCGTTCAGTGGCTTCTGACATCCACAGCTTTTTCTCTACTTTCAGTGGATTCTCTCTTACCTGGTGCTTCAGGGATGGTTCAACTTCTGAACCTTTTAAAGCTGTGGATCTTCTCATGGAGTAATGGTTCCATAATAACCTTTCACTATAATGTACAGTAAATCAAGTGATCTGACAGAAAACTAGACTGTGCTTCCTCTGGGCTCTGTTTCACTTCTCTGATTGGTCAGGCTCCTATCGTGCCTGCTGTGTTATTCAGCTCTCACACAATATGCACATTTTCAGATATGTTTCACCGCAGTAACAATGTTAGCAGCCTCCTCTGGAAATCATTTCAAACATTCACACATTTATAAGTGATTCATTTTCATTTGCCTGCTGTGGATGTTGCTTTCATCCTGTGAATCACATCACTTCAAGTGTGAAATCTGAACGTAAACATTCCACTGTGTGTTTTTACTATGAATGGATGGGTGGCCACACATGATTCTGAGACGTCTTTGGATAATGACGCTTGAAAATTTTATTCATTGCACCTCAGTCCTTGTTCTTGCTGTGGGCGTTAATTTAGGAAAAATGTGAGACTGCTTACTGCTCCACAATCCGCTCTAATAAGCCATTTCCAGAGGATTAAGGGAGGAAGATAGATGAGTCAAAGGAGAAGAGGAATCACATTACAAATGCTGGAGTCCAGTACGTCTCTCCTGCAGACTCTCTTTTCAGAACATCCTTAAAGGAATTTCAGCACAAGACATTTGGCAGAAATGCATGAAGTAAACTGCAAAAGGATTCTATTAAGATCCCAGTGGAAGAAAAATGCATCTGTATGGAAATACATTGGCACGGCAGTATTTTTCAAAGTAATGGCTCTGGCTCCTGCGTTTAGCGACAGGCACTGGGCGTGTGGATCCTCGCTGCAGAAAGCTATTATGGCTCAATCTAGTGATATGCAGTTGAAGTGTGAAGGTTTCAGTTGATGGTATCAAGACTCTGGAATTAATTTGTTTGGCATTCACCCTTGAATAACTCCTCAACGTTTCCCCTCTCTGCAGGAACGAGATCACAAGAAATGCTACATTTCAAGCAGATTAACTTCCATCAAAGAGCAAGAATACAATCACTGCGAAGAGCCTCCTCCCCCGTCTCACCTCTCCTCTCAGCGATCTGCAGGTAGCCGGTGGACAGGTACTGCTCCATGTCTTGCTGGAAGGCCTCCTCGAAGAACTTCTGCCTCTCCTTCAGCTTCACCTGGGGTGGTGGGACCCCTCCCTGTTCTGCCCCCGGCACTCTCTGAGGGTGTTCTGCTTCCAGCTCCACTGCAAACCACAAAAGAAGAAAGTTTTTTTAACGCAAGACTATGCAACTTTCGCTAAACAGCAGCACATGTGGCCACAGGGGGTATGCAAATATGCAATAAAAGGTAATGCTGTAACAAAGTGCAGCAGTGGTGTTAATAGAAAGTCATAAAGTCAAAGAATTCAACTCATTTTGAAAGATTTCTACAAACACTCTAAATCTGGAATCCAATTTATATTCATAGTTACATCCAAAATAAATGAAGAACATTGACAAATTTGTCTTTGGCTCAAGTTCTAACTCTGTCCAAACACTTTTACTGAAAGCAACAGGAAAATAAAGTAAAAACTAATTTAATTTAGACAATTTTTAATGAAGCAGCAACTATTTTGATTTAATAAAAATTAATGCAAATGCTGGTTCTATCAAATGCATCGTGGTCTGATATTAATAACTCCGACATCAGACATAAGGACAAACTTCTCGTCAACAACCTTTACTGAAGCAGAATTATGATGAGCTCAATGCAAATACATATTCCCACATTGTGTGATTCTCCTTTACATTTTCATGTAATGTAACATGGTCTATTTGATGTTCATGCTTTTATTTAAGTATTTAAAATATGCAATTATTTTAGAAAACCTCTGCCAATCATCCATTAGTTGCATATAAAAATAAGAAGATGATTCAATACGCTGAACATCTTGATGTGACTTGTGGCCATGACAAGTTATCTGCTGGATTCTGATTGGTCCAGACACAACTTTGGGGCAGACTGTGTTGGTCAGTTTAAAGTGTCTGTGCGGAGGGTCAGCAGAGGGAGGAGCTGAAAAGACGGGCGACAGAAACAACCCTTCAGTTTGTGTGCATGCTTCTTCTTGTTCTTGTGTGCGTGTGCAGCCTGGAGTCTCGGAGAGGCTGTCTCTTTAGTTCTTTCAGCTCCCTCTGATAGATGACAGCCTTATATAAGACCACTCGCTGACACTAACTACTGTGGCAAGAGCCAGGCCACTACATATAAAATGTCTGATGGGACCTGTATCTTGGTTTAATAAGGACAAAATGGACAAAACTTCTTCTCTCCGGCAATACTATGCGAATTAAAGGGAAAATGCATTTGATTCTTGATAATATGGCAGCATGCTATAGTATGAAAAGGAACAATCCCAGTAACAGTGGTCAGTCAGTATATGGTCAGCAATGTCTGAGCCAAACCAGAACCTCTACACCATCTCTGCGTTTTCTCCATGAACACCAGCTCCTCTAAAATCAATATCAAGGTTCAATATAAAAAGAAATTAAATATAAAACACTGCTCAAGAAGTGTTAACTACAGCAGGATCAGAGAGCGGGCGTCTTCACACACACACACACACGCAGGGCGAGAGAAAGTGAGAGAGCTTTTATTTTCCAAGTCTCCAAGGGCTGTAAGTGACGTTTATCATTAGTGAGCTGTGTGTGTGTGTGTGTGTGTGTGTGTGTGTGTNGTGTGTGTGTGTGTGTGTGTGTGTGTGTGTGTGTGTGTGTGTGTATGTGCCACTCCTCACTCAGTGTCCAATTTATCTTCTTAATTTGACTACCCATCTTTTTCTCATCTTTCCCTCCTAATGCTCTCCTTCCCTCGCTGTTGGCTGGTGTGTATGTGTGATAGTCAGAGTGTGTTTGTGTCTTGTAGAGACTGCTCTTCTAGATTACAGACCTCAGGGAAGCTTTGTTCAGATCGTGACGAGTTAGTAACAGGGGATCCAGACAGCGTGAGGAAGAAAGATTGGCAGTGCGTTAGGTTATAATTAGAGCTTGTGGACAGACAGCAACAACGACAGAGCTGGATCCTGTGTCTTTTTATGTTCTTCTCTAATCTAATTCTCTAATTCAATACTAGCCGGCACTGTCTATTTGTTTAGACTATGAACCCACTGAATGTTTGTGTCATCTGGGTGCATGTCTGCTCGTCTCAATGAAAACCTGTCCCTCTTTTCTCCATCAAATCTACATAAAAAAGCTCAGAGATCCACATGCCTCAACCACATGGTTCATATAAGAAAAGAAAGAGTGTATACCTCCGCCAAGGCCCCTTATATCCGATCGAGCTGCACCAAATTGCACACACACTCATTGATATCAGTTCCATAAATGTGCCTGTTTTTTTTCAGCTAGATCCATGAATTATGGTAGATTGGTGAAAATGGCCAAAAAAATCAGCCCCTTCCAAAATTCTCCAGAGTTCTCCACATCCCATCCTGGCACCAAGTTTTGTGGATATCCTCTTGGTAGTTTTTGCATTAGGGCAAAGTTAAAAATACGCAAATGGGAAGAAATATCGTAGTTTGGGCCCTAATCCTGCTGAAACAAATAAACAAGCAAACTGACAGGGGTGAAAACAGAACATCCTCAATCTTTTCAAAATAAATCCCAAATGATCATAAAACCAAAAAACTTTTTAACATTCACATTACAGGAATAGTTTCAGGTCCCCTTCAATCACTCAGATAAATTTCACTTTCTATGTTTAAAACTGAGCTTTTTTATCTTTCCTGTCTTCTTTGGAACATAAAACCACCAGCCATAAATGCATTTCTCTCCGTGCTTCCTCTTTTATTCATTAATCTCTCCTCCCTTCCTTCTCTTGGTCTTTTCTTCTTCGTCATCATCTACCAGATAACCATATCCTGCTACGCACTTTACTGCAGCTTCAGGTTCTATTTTTAGCTCTCACTCATCATTTAGCCTGCAGGATTAAGTTTGTGTGGATGTCTTCAGTCATTAGCTCCAACACTTTCTACCCACTTGCTATACAGATTTAAACCTACCTTAAGATTCACATGTAAAGTTGTAAAGACACATCAACACACAAATACTCACACTACTTCACCCATTCAACTGCACACTTGTGCGATAATTCATAATATGCACAGTTGCGAGCACAAGCTTTGAGGCACATCTGGCGATGATTCATAGGAGCTATGGAAACTGGATTGTAACATAATTTCATTTTTTACTCCTTCAAATAGACGACGCATGAATGAAGGTCACAAAAATGAAATATTTTCAACTGAAAAACATGAAATTCTAGTGCATTACCTGAGTTTGTATTTGTAGTCTTACTCACTGCATCTGCTCCTGCAATCATCATGTAGGTAAAAGAATTTAAAAGCCAACGTCTCCTCACAGATTTTTGTCAGTAGACATCATGTACTCACAAAGTGTTGTGTCTCCTCCTCACCTCTCGACTGTGTGACTCAAAAACCCAGCGGGACATAAATGAAAACATCAATAATATGAGATAATCTTGTTCTGCTCGTTCAGACGACTGTTTGTTCAGACGGATCAATATGAAATGAGACTGTTGATGTGCTTACTCTCCTATTTATTTTCAGCGGCACAGAAAGATATGTGAGATACTTAGTCTACAAACACAGGAAGTAGAACCCACAGTAAAAAGGCTGGTGTGTGTGTGTGGGGGTGTGTCTGGGGTTATGTGGTGTGTGTGTGTGTGTGTGTGTGTGTGTGTGTGTGAGACAGCACGATGTGTGGATCATCGTGCACCTGGTTCCTATACAACTTTCATATCAGGGCACCATAAACAGGCAGAGAAGCATTTACCTGCAGATGAACTCTGTCATTAAACTGCAGTTTGCATTTGATTTGCCGACTTTACAAGTGAGAGTTTCTGTGCGTGTGTGAAGACTAAACAGAAGCAGAACTGTGAATGCTCTTTCATATGCTATGTAAATGTATGTCTATATATAGAAGCACAGAGACCAACCCAAAAGAAGTGTCTGCAGCTGAAAAGTAGCGAGGAAAGTCCGCCACCCAGGCCAATTCAAGTCTCAACGATTCAGCTTTAGAGCTTTAGATTTGACTAAATGGAGTCATTTCTCACAGCTCTGCTCCCACAGCCAAAATGCAAATCTTAGCGTTAAGTGTTAGTCATACAAGATTGGTCACCGCATTTCTTTTGTTAGTGCAACGCTAATTGGAGGCTTACTCACAACAGCAACTCATTTTATGTCATTGAAGCCTTTTGAAACTCCGTCTCAGGCAGGAAGTGCTGATTAGAGCTCTTTCAGGATTTTGTTTGGTAAGATCCGTTAAGTACAGAGAATATTTCGTTTTTTGAGAACTGACAGTTCATTTAAGTGACCGTAAATAACAAGCAACACTAACAGCCTCCTTTTCCAACCGAAAATCATACTGTATTTGTCATCAGCAGCTAATTCAACTTACTGAAGCTCATAGTTAAGGCTGGCACAGGCCGGGACAAGCTCTGAGGCTACATGATACTACAATGTTTTAATTTGGAAACTAAAATGATCTCTGTCCACAAAAGTGTTTTGGCTGCTTATCAGTTTTAATCCAAGTCCTAACATGCCTGAAAACGCATATCACATGACCACTCACATACACAAGTGTCCTTCTGGACGCAGAAATTGTCGCAGATTGCTTGAATAATAGCTCGTCTCCTATGTTAGCACAACAGCTGCAAAGACAACAGTTCCACATGTTGCATTCTACACTTTAAAATGAAAATGTAGTTGTGTGGCTGCAGCCTTAGTTATGCTGCTACAGGCTTAGATTGTCAGGGGACACATGACACATGCAACTTCTCTTCCCTCCTCTACCTCTTCATCACATTCATGTCTCATCAATACATGCCACTGACTTGACTTCTTCCCTTGAGTCTCTATCATTGCAGATTGCCACATTGTGATTATTATTATGATGACAACAAGATTGCTTTTACAGTACGACACTGTCTTTTCTCATGAATGTTTTAGATATTGTTATTTTGTTGATGTGCTCAGTTGCACACCGTTGCTCCTCTGTTCATCCTGGGAGAGGGATCCATCACATGCGGCTCTCTCTAAGGTTTCCAAGTTTATTTTTCCCTGCTAAAAAGTTTCTTTTAGGAGTTTTTCCTCACTTTGTGAAGCACTATGAGGCAATTTCTTTGTGAATATGGGCCACACAAATTAAATGTTGTTGATTGATTGGTTGACTTGGTAGTAGTAGTGGT